TCGTTTGTTGATGGACACTTAGGTTGTTTCCAACTCCTTGCTATTGTGAATAAAGCTGCAATAAACATGGGTGTGCATATATCTGCTTGGATGTCAGTTGTGGTCTCTTTGGGATATATTCCCAGTAGTGGAATTGCTGGGTCAAATGGTTTCTCTATTTGCAACTTTGTGAGAAAGTGCCATATGAATAAGGGTTCCAGTTTCTCCACAACCTCGCCTGCATTTGTTGCTTGCTGTTCTGTTAAATTTTGCTATTCTGACTGGGGTGAGATGCTATCTCATAGTTTTTTTAATTTGCATCTCTCTTAGAGCTATGGATTTTGAACATTTCTTCATGTACTTGTTAGCCACCTGAATGTCGTCTTTGTGAAGTGCCTGTTCATATCCTGTGCCCATTTTTCTATTGGATTATTTACCTTTATCTTGTTGTGGTGCTCAAGTATTTTATAAATTCTGGATATAAGTCCCTTATCGGATATTACCAAATACTTTTTCCCAGTCGGTGGCTTCCCTTTTTACCCTTTGGCGAAGTTTTTGGATGTACATAGGGATTTGAGTCTTAGAAGATCCCATTCATCTACTTTTTCTTCTCTTGGTTGTAGAAATATGGATTTTTTTTCTGGTCAATTGTTCACATAGCTGTGTCCCAAAATTCTTGACATAGGCTAGTGAACACATCTTGGGCCACATCTGTTTGTTGAAACATGTCAATTGATGTTCCATTAATTCCTGGGGCCCTATTTTTTTGCCAGTACCTTTCAGTACAGTTTGAACTTCCTGAAATGGTTCAGTGTCGACCAATTCTTTTGATACAGCGATTCTGTATTCCTTCCATCTTCTTTTGATGCTTCCTACACCGTTCAAGATTTCAAGCTGATGTTAGTAAATACTATTTGTACAGAAATTACAGTTGTCAAATATTATTCAAAATATTAACTCTTTCTGCTCGAATGAAAGAAATTGTAGATAATTTTATTTAAAAGAAATATCTTGGCTCTATTGGTACAATAGACGTGCCCTGCACGTGTTCACCAAGTTGTGCCAGGAAATCTGGAGAACAACCACTTGGCCAACTGACTGGAAGAGATCTATATTTGTTCCCATTCCAAAGAAGGGTGACCCAACAGAGTGTGGAAACTAT